AGTTGGTGTTGGCAATTTTTGGCAGTGTCTACAGAGTCCAAAAAAAAAAAAAAAAAAAAAACTTCTAGAAGAAAACATAGGAAAATACTTTCATAACCTCAGTCCAGGAAGAGTTCTCTAACATTACACGAAAAACACTATCAAAGAAAATAAATTGGACTTAATTAACATTAAGTTAAAAATCTTTACTAAGGTAAATGAAAGGGCAAGCCACATACTAGAAGAGGACACTTGAAATGCATATATTTGATAACAACCCTGTAGCATCCATTGAGGTGCTCTGCTCAGATCTCCCTTCTACAGAGGATTTCCTTCAGCTTTCAAGCCAAGGCCACAAATTTCCTTGGGGCCACTTAGCCAATTATAAGCACAGAGGTAATATAAGGGCTCACTATCTCTGCACAGTGTTAGAGCTCCCCACTGGATTGACTGAGACTTCTCAGAGATGTACTCCCATCCCATTCTCCTTCTACCAAACTAACCTTCCTTCCCCCTTTCTTTCCACCAGTGTCAGACCAGCATCTTAAGATTTTTCCCTATCTGTAACTTTTTTCTTTCCCTTTTATCTTTCATAGATGTTACCCCCAATAAATCTCTTGCACTGCTAATTTCATATTGGCACCTGCTTCTCAAAAAATCCAACTGATATACGCATATTCAGAATACATAAAGAATGTCTACAAATCAATAAGAAAAAGATAATCCAATTTTTTTTTTAATGGGCAAAAGACTCAAAGAGTTACTCTGCAAAGGATAGCCAAATGACTATTAAACCTGTAAAAAGGTGTTCAGCATCTCTAGTTATCAGGGAAATGTATATAAAAACCACAAGGAGGTATGGTTACACCTCCATCAGAATGGCTAAAATTAAAAGGACAATACCAAATGTTAGTGAAACAAATTGAATTCTCTTCAGTTCTTTCGTGGGAGTAAAATTTGGTGCAATAACCTTGGAAGCCTGACAGTGTCTACTAAAACTAACATGTATTTACCATATGACCCATAGTACTACTCTCAGGTGTATACCAAGAGAAATAAATGCTTATATCCACCATAAGATGAACAACAATGTTTAAGGCACTTTTATTCTAATAATCCCCAAACTGGACACAACTCAAATATTCATCAACAGTAGAATGGATAAATAAAATGTGCTATATTCATACAAATGGATTTCTCCCCAATAATGAAAAAGAATATACTATTGTCACACAGTATGGACATGACACATAAACAAAGTGTTAAGTGAGAAAGTCATACTTAAACAAGTATACACTGTATGAATCCATTTATATCAAGTTCAAAAACAGATACAACTAATTATTGTCAAGGAGGTCAGAATATCTGGTGCCTTTTAGGGGTGGATATTGACTAGAAGCAGCCCTGAGACAGCCTTGTGAGAGGCTGGAAGCATTCTGCATCTTGATCTGGGTGGTGGGTTACAAAGACTCTCTCCTTGATGACACTCTAATGAGGCTTCTCTGAGCCCTGTTCTCCACTAGGCCTGAGCCTTGGCCTGTAACTACTGCAGATTCTGAGCACAAATTATTTTATCCACACCCCAAACTAAGAGTCCTAAACAAATACTAGCAAGTTCCTAGAATGGCGACTTCAGCCACCTTTAGTTCCTGCCTGGGAAAGCTTAAGTCTGACAAAAGAACATTATGTTTGTTCCAGTTCTACGAGCCTATAGTGACCACGTTTGATTTTATTCTGAAACTGTTGTAACTGTATCCATTAAGTTTAATGATGGGTGTCCTGTTTTTTCAACAACAAAAAAATCTCTTGTGGAGCAATTTCACTTTTGACCCCTCACCCTCACTTTTTCATATTCTGAGTTCACAGACCTAGAACACATCCATTTGCTAATCAGGTTTGTTTGTTTCCTGGAGGATTTTGACTTTTCAACTGCTGCATCATTAAAAAAATTATTTTCATATGTTTAAGGTAAGTTCTTTAGTACCAAGAGTAATAATTTTCTGCCTTTTCAGATCAGTGCCCACTGTTCTATAATATGTATTTGTAACATCCCCTTTAGTAGCTTGAAGTGAAATTCGTAATCTACCTTACATGAATTTTTTTTTTTTTTGAAAGAGAGTCTCACTCTGTAACCTAGGCTGGAGTGCAGTGGTGCGATCTCAGCTCATTGCAACCTCTGCCTCCCGGGTTCAAGTGATTCTCCTGCCTCAGCCTCCCAAGTAGCTGGGATTACAGGCGCATGCCACCACGCCCAGCTAATTTTTGTATTTTTAGTAGAGACGGGGTTTCACCATCTTGGCCAGGCTGGTCTCGAACTCCTGACCTTGTGTTCCACCCACCTCGGCCTCCCAAAGTGCTGCGATTACAGGTGTGAGCCACCACACCTGGCACACTGTGTTGTATTGATAAGCTATTAGAGTTGCAATTTTCCAACTTTTAAAACATTTTTGAATAATACAGTCTGCCCTAATTTATACAATATTTGCATTTCTGGGAAATATAGTGTATATTAAAACTCTACCAAAATATTTTCTATTTACATATGAAAAGGAGTTGTGTTCTAGGCATACATTATTGTAATAGGTGTTTCACCTACATGTGAATGTTTGTGAGGCATTGGAAAGTCATGAGAATGAGGGACAATTCTTGACTATGCTCTTTCCTATCTCAAGGACCTGCTGCCTGCTGTTCCCCCAGCTGGAATGTTCTTTCCCTCAATCTCCCTGTAAATGCCTCTTTCTTATACTGAAAACTCAGCTCAAATGTCACCTCCTCAGCATATTCCTCTATCTCAGTCATTTTTCATTTGGCAGTTCCTTCAGAGAATTGAAATTGTAAATGTTTTCCATCTCTTTGAAATGTACATATTTTAAAAAGCTATTAATAAGCCTCTTGCTAGTTTTACATCCTCAGAAGGTCTTTCCTGGGGGCCTTGGAGCCATCTCTCAGAACTGTGAACATTGAGGATGGTGCTCCATGTCTCTGTCTCTAGGAGGGTTTAAGTCTTCACTGTTGGCTCCAAGATATAACTTCCCATTATTTTCCACTGAATAAAGACAATTAACAGGTATGTAATGGATTGTACCTGACCATATGAAAGGTTGAGTTTTTGCACTCTCTTCAGTGGACTGCCTGTGATGTGCATCACAGTATGTTTTAGCACACATCCAATAAAACTGTCTCATTCTTTTGTTGTACATTGTGCGTTTCATGGAAAGAATACTTTGGGGTTGGCAGGATATTTTAAATTATTTCCCTACCTGGATCCTCCAGTTCAGGGCACCTGTATGTCAGGCTGATATTCCCCATTCCCTCTCTGTACTTACTTTAAGCAGTAAAGGATAGCGGCAAGGGCACGGAACTTTGGAGTCAGATAACCCTGGCTTTTAACTGTGCCTTTTCTTTTACCAGCATTCTGAAGTACTGTATGTTGAAGTAATTTTCTGAACCCCGAATTCTTCAGCTATAAAATTAGGAATAATAAATGTCATAGATAAGGTATAGAAATTATCTGACCTATAGCAGGCACTATTCAAATGAAAGTAACGAAGTTATCCTTGGTCCTTTAATGGCACTAAATGTTTGCTCCATTTCCCCTTTTCTTGGTATCTATGTGAAATCTCGGAATAAAGTGTCCACTTCACTAAACTTGAGTACACTGCGTAATGAGACAACCAACTCGAAGTGCAGCCCTTTCGAGTTTAAATGGGTTTCAATAGGTAAAATACGTAAAGTTCACAGTGCCCTCGCAATTTAGGTAGACGAAAAAAAATCTGCCCGGGGATGGGGTAGGTCCCCGTATGCAAATGCAGGAATTACAGAAGAAGACAGGCTCCGCCGCTGCCGCACTTCCTCCTCCACAGTCCCGCGCACCGGCGCGGAGGTGGAGATTTGCATGTGCGAAATCGGGAAGAGGGGGAACCGCCTCTCGAAAACCCCGGCCGTCGCCCTCCCCAGCCGGCAGGGTCAGCCCCACTTGGCCGCCCGACGCGCCCCCAAAGGCTCCCGGGCGGCCGGCCCTCTCTACGTCACCCGCACCCTTCCGCCCGCTCCTGAACTTTAAACCACACTCGGAAGAACAACCTGGAGGAGGGGGATTTCTTAGGAGCCGGCGGCCTTCTCACGCCGCGAGCCGTCACCTCCCGGCTCCCGCCGTTCCCTGAGCTCCCGAAGACCCCAAGGTTCCCGCTGCCTCGACCCCCTCCCAAGTCAGCCGCCGCCGCCGCCGCCGCCGCAGCAGCAGCAGCTCCGGGGGCGTACGCGTGGGGGCGGGCAGAGAGCGTGCGCGGGGACGGGGCGCTGGGGGCGGTCGCGCGCGGCGGTAGCCGCGAGGACGCCCCGCCCCACGCCTCCGGGTGAAGGCTGCCGCGCCGGTTATACGTCAGCCGCGGGAAATTCCCGTCCCGCCAGGCTGCCAGCCTCTCGGCCGGGCTGGGAATCGTTTCTCGCCCTGCTCCGCCCCCTGCCCTTGGCTCCCGCAAGGTGGACAGGCGACGCTGGGCGACCCGGAGCGCAAGAATTCAGGGGGTGGGAAGGTGTGATCCTCAAACCCAGCCGAGGGCGGGAAGAAGGAGGAGGACCCTGGGGTGGTCGGGGGACTGGGGGCCCCGCCGGCAGAGGTCCCTCGGCCTCCTGACTGACTGACTGACTGCGGCCGCCTCGGGCCGGGACGCTGGGAGCTGCCTGCGGGAAGGCGCGGGGAGCGGAGCCATGGCCTCCGGTGAGTGTTCCTGGGGGAAGGAGCTCTTCTGGGGGTCCTGCCGCTGTGAGTTTAGGGAGCTTAGTTTTGGCTGGGGCGCGTTCTCTTTGAAATCTTACATGGTAAAATTGTCAGCTTTTTAAAAAGTTACCTGCTTCAGGGTTTGCGTGCGAAATCCAAGCCACGCTCTGTAATTTGATCCTGTTGTCATAGCAGGAACCTTAGAAATTCCCAACGACTTGATTTTAGGATTAGGGAAGTCATAATCGAACTAAAGGAGTACGAGGAGTTCTCATACTTAAAAATGGATATGTACTGAAGTGGTGGTTTAATGTTTTAGAACAGGAATGAGGAACCTTCAGACCTCGGGCAAGCTCTCTCCCCCTTTTTAGTTTAATTTCATCAAATGCAAAGAGGTGATCCCTCTTGTACTGACAGTTGCAAAAAATGTGGCGCGGCTTTAAAAATCATCCGTGGTATTTTAAGTGTTAATGTTGCTTCGACCAACAGTGGGCCGGGCGCGTGGCTCACGTCTGTAATCCCAGCACTTTGGGAGGCCGAGGCGGGCGGCTCACCTGAGGTCGGGAGTTCGAGACCACCCTGGGCAACATGGTGAAACCCCTTTTCTACTAAAAATACAAAAATTACCCGGTAGTGGTGGCGCACCCCTGTAATCCCAATTATTCGGGAGGCTGAGTCAGGAGAATCGCTAGAACCCGGGAGGTGGAGGTTGCAGTGAGCCGAGATCGCGGCCCTGCACTAAAGCCTGGGAGACCGAGCGATACTCTGTATTTAAAAGAAAAAAAAATGTGTAGTTTTTATTGTGACATAAAGCACAAGGTTTCTAATCTGACTAATAGAGACGTTGAGTCCCCCGCTCCTCCCCGCTGGAAATAAGGGGAAAGAGGAGTTTTAGAATATCCGTGCTTTGAAATAGTAAGTAGGATTGAATACCGCTTTACTACTTTTGAATATATATTTTCCCTTAATAAATGCTAGAATCTCTTCCTTTGGGGGAAAATAAGTTTATAAGAAACATTGCAGGGCAAGGGAGAGCCTCGTGTATACACAGACGTGGTTTGGGGCTGCCTGTAGTTTAAGGTTGGGGGGACAGGGGAGCCGGGGCCGGGAGATAAATCAGGTAACCTGGGTTCGATTTGGACTTTTACTAGGATTTTGGCAAGGTGAGTGGGGGGTGCTTTCCAGACAGAGGAAGCAGCGTGAGCAGAGGCAGGGAGGGCTAAACACATATATTAAATGCTGTACTAAGGGAATGAAGAGGGGGCCCCGTTTCTGAACTTGACTCCCATGCCCAAACTGCCTGGTTCAGTGACTCTTAGAAGAAAGCCGATGTCTAGTAGAGAAGAGGAAGTCGGAAGCTTAAAGAATCTCTTTAAAAGGTTGAGTAGAACAATGCTATAGCTATTGCTGTAGGCAGAAAAGGAAATTGGGGTGTTTCACTTGACATTTGATTTCAGTTTGTGGTTGTGAGAATACAAATGTAGTTTAAAATATTTCAACTTTCCCTTTACCCACTTAAGTGACCCCAAACTTTCAGATAATTCTGTACATTTATGAATTCAAAGCATGTGTAGATTCTAAGTGTTAAGATGACTTCAAATATTTTGTTAATTTATTGGTTATCAGAGAGATTTTGTTTGGAAGTAATGAAGAATACCTAACATAAGAAAGTTCAGCCTTCTGGCGATTTAATCAAACATTACTAATATATTGCATGAATGTAATACTTCTAATTTTTTCAAATGCAAGAGAAAACCATTTCTATATAGACCATTCTAAGACTCACAGGATTTTAAAATGTGTTACAATTTAAATTTGTTCATTGACACTGTATTTTGTGCTGTTGTGAGGACCAAGGATTCCCTAAATGTAAGGAGGAAATGTTTAAAGAAATGGAAAGTTTTGAAGGTTTGGAAGTTGAAAGGTGATTTAACTTTTTGTATTTTGGTCTTTTCTGAAGAGTTGCATTAAAATGGGACTATTTAAAATGTAACAAGTTATTTACATTGTAATTCAGTTATTAGAAAACTATCAGGCCTGGAATTTTAAAAAAATGATTAAAGGAATCTGTGTACTTTTCCTTAATCTGTTATAAAGACCTTAGAGATAGAAAAAGATTCACTAATGAAATTCTAAATTCCCATTCTGTTTTGAAACAGTAATTAACCGGAAGACTGACCAAAAAAAATGGCTTAGTTTTTCATTGTCTAATTTAGATTCTGTTGGTAGTAAGGTAGCATTAAAACTCAAAAAGTACTTTTATTCATTACAAAGCATTTAAGAATATTTCTTCATTTCTCACGAGATATCATACATGAATAGGTATATGCAGTTGAATATGTGATATCTATAATGTAAAAGTAACAGAAATCATAATCTAAGCAAAATTATATAATTTAGAATATAGTTTAGAATCATGTATATACATATGATTCTAAATTTTGTTTAGATAAAGTTAGCAGATTATATAGGATTTCACAGCCTGTATTAAGCTGCTTTTTGTTCCTTTTTTAAAAAAATTATACCTTGATTACAGTCTTTTGACATAATTAATAATAAACATAGTGAAGAAAAATGTTCCCAAACCCATCTAAGGTATGCATAGTAGGCAGTCATAGCTTTTGTATATTTATGATTCTATTTTGTTTACTGTAAGTAGAGTTAGATATTTTATGTCTGAATTTAAACCTTCTCATTGTTCCAGTAAAAAAAGCAAAGTGTCTTTGTGTGTCATATAGCTCTGTTAACTAATAATTAGTGTTGTCTTTGGTAAAATGTTTTAAAATTTAGATAATTTATTTTTATTCACGTTTTTCTTTAGTATGCTTCTTCTGTGTCACACAATAGGAAGTACAAGAATGAACTGTTTTTGTAAACCTTACTACTCACCAAACTGTTTGTACTGTGAATTTCAAGAGGACTGTTTTTTTTTTCTTGAGTAAAGGAGTGGGAAATAGAAGTTACTATGATGCAACTTAATCTTTAATAACAGAGCTGGAAGTTAGGAATGGATAGCTACAGCAAATGACTTCCTTTTTTAAGTACAAGGCCACACATGAGCATGAATGTTTCAGAAATGCAACACATGAAAAAGTAGAAATAACAGTGGTGTTAAATAATTAAGGTGATATATGATAGGCACAGATAAAGGGAATGAGTTAATCTAATGACAAGGGAGGGGGCCAGACAATGAATCATAATTGGGAACATCTAGGTTATGCATAGTATCTTTCTCAGATACAATTTAAGGGACTCAGAATTTCCTTTTGTTCCAACTTTTTCTCATCTGGGTTCTCTGAAAATGATTTTGTTTGTAGGCACATGACCCAAATATTGCATGGGATAAAATTGTTTTTCTGAAATTCGTATTTCTGGGCCTCTTGTATTTTTATTTTTAAAAGAGAGGTGATTTGGTCTTGTCATTTGTTTTTAACTTTAATACCTGTATAATCTAGGACAGATTTTAAAATTTCTTTATTTTACCTTGGCATGTGAAAGAGTTTTTTCAAGACTTACCTTTTCCCCCACATGGTAACAGAATCCGTATTACCAGAATCTTTTATAGTTTTTACCTTGTGTGCATAAATCAGTTGAATATGCATCTGAATACTTTGATTCTTAAGGCCCGATTCAAAGTCAACCTGATGTTTTGGAGTAATAGCCTGATATATTGGAATAGACTTTGGCTCATGAGAGACCTGGTTTGAGGAAAAAGAGAATAGTTCTTATTTTCTTTTTCTCTAAATTGAGTAGAGGTGATATTTGGAAAAATATATGTTGTTAACTCCATTTTCTCGTTGAGGTCTCAGGCAAGTCTGTCACCCAGGACCTTTATGAGAGACATGCAGCCTAGTCAGCTATTCTCAACTGTGGTGTTGACACACTGGTGTGTCAATCATTTGTGTGTTGTGTTGCAAGAGTTAAGATATTTATTTTGTAAGTTATTTACTTTTTAAATAAATGAGAGCATTTGAAGGCTATCTCTGTAGTGTCATTTTTCTTGCTTGCATTTGAATAAGATTCTTTTTTGAGCGGGAGAGAAAAAGAATTTACAAGTAGCCAGAATTGCTTTGCCTGATTTATCCATGTCCCAGTCCTTACTTGTACCTGAATTTTTAGATTGCTTCTCTAGATATGTGCATTGGGTTGTTTCCACTTCATGTTTAAGGCAATTGTTCTTAATCAGGAGTGTGTTAGAATTTCTTGGAAGGCTTTTTCAGAAAAATGTAGGCTTTAAAAAGGCTTTAAAAACCTTGAAGATTTCCATTTCTCTTAAACATCATAAGTGGGATAAGGATGTGCATGTTTTGAAAAAACTACCTAGCTGATTCTGATGTAAATCCCCAGTATGAACTCTGTTCTAGGTATTTCTTTGGATCTAAATACTCATTTGACTATACCAGGATGCATTATCTTCTTAAATTAAGTTCCATTTATTTTAGGTCGCAGGTTATGTGCTGTGTCAGTTATTGTGACTTTACCTCCAGTTGCTCTGATGCTTGATTTTTAAAATTTGGCACTCCCATATTAGCATGCCATTCATAATTTGTTTTTCTTATAACTTCATATAATTTTCAACTTTAGTTTCATCATCTGTAAGATGGGATAAAAATGTCTATTTTTCAAATGGAGATTAAAGAGGATCAAATGAGAAATGTGTGTTAAAGGGGTCTTAAAATAGTGTTATTATATTAATTTACTTTTTTTCTGTATGCTTGTTGCTGGTTGCTAATTCTAGCAATAAGATGTTAGTAATGTGTCTATTTCTGATCATTTATGATCCATTTAAACATTTATTTCAGTGTCATTTATTTTTTTATCTTAAAAACTTATGCTTTATTAGATAGGCACTATGTTTTAAAATAGTACTCTGTTTTGCCTAAGTGCAAATAAAAACATAAATATATCTTAGAAACATTTTGGCTATATTTCAGATGTTATTCTGGTGTATATTAGCCTTTTAAAATACTATTTAGAATATAAGGGTCAGTCCCAGCTTTGCATGGTATTGCTTAAAGAAAAATACAGTAATCAACTTATTTAGAGCCAATTTTGAAGATGTTTTGGTGCCTTTCAAAACTGGCGATTTGAGGTTATCTTAGTTAAGAGCGCTCATTTTCCCTACAATTCCCTGATTTGTATTTTACCGTCTTCCACTCCATAGATGACTACATTTCAGCACATTTTATATTCAGGAGGAATGGCACTGCGCAAAGCACAGTATTGAGGAAGGAAATAACTGGTGAATTGTACTGATGCATTATATAAATGATTTATAGTTGGGAAGTTTTTAAAAAATCATAAACTCAGATAAGTCGAAATATGAATGAGCATGAGGAAATACTGGGGTATAGCAATCCTGGTACCTACAAAGCACTATTTGTTTTTCTTAGTAGTGAAATCTAATTTAAAAAACTGAATAATCACTTATATGATTATTTAACATTTGAATAACTTGTATAAACAAAAGATCTTAAGACTTTTTAGTCATTCAATAGTTGTTTAATGAATATCTGTGTACAAGGCACTGATGAGTAAGACACAATTTCTGCCTTCAAGTAGCTTGAAGAAGTAAAACAAGTAGCTTTATTTCAAGAAGAAATAAGACAGTAGGTTTTCCCTAAGAGTTATTTGGAATAATTGCTATAAACAGAATACTATGGTAGTTTAAAGGAGGGGAGATTATTTCCAACTGAGGGAATATAGAGTATTGCAATATACTCTGTTACTTGGTTGTAACCCCAGCTTGTTGATTTTTACCAATTAAGGGCTTCTGCAATAGGAAAAATAAATTTCAAGGACTTTAAGTACTCAATATTATATGACAACTGATATTTATGTAAATTTTACTATTTAAAAATATTGAATCTTTTTAACAACTACTTTTATTTTTATAGACTTTTTCACAAACAATCTAAATAAGTGTCATGTAACCAATGAAGTTTTTTTTGTTTGTTTGTTTTTGTTTTTTTGAGGCTGGAGTACAATGGCTCAATCTCAGCTCACTGCAACCTCCACCTCCTGGATTCAAGCAGTTCTCCTGCCCCAGCCTCCCAAGTAGCTGGGATTACAGGCATCTGCTACCACGCCCAGCTAATTTTTTGTATTTTTAGTAGAGGCAGGGGTTTTGCCATGTTGGCCAGGCTGGTCTGGAACCCCTGACCTCAGGTGGTTCACCCACCTTGGCCTCCCAAAGTGCTGGGATTACAGGTATGAGCCACAGTGCCTGGCCTCAGTGAAGTCTTTGAATGCTCACTATGAACCTAGCATTTTTATTCACACTCCCTCCTCCCAAAGTTAACCACTTAACCATTAACGATGTCATTTTATGTCAGTTTCCCACCAAGACACCTTTAAATAAGTAGTAGGCAGGGATTTATTTGACTTTTACTTCAGCCACATAAATTATTTAAAATGTTACTTAAAAAATAATGTTAATTTTACCAGTTTTTAAGGGGAAAGATGTACTTTTTCTTAAATACCCCTGCAAGGATATATAAGGTTATGAAATATTTAAAATTGAAATATGAACTTGAAAGATTTGAAATACGCAAGGATAAAATTGTGAATTACTCATCTGCATATCTTATGTTTTTTAGTAAAACTGGAATAAGGATTATGAACTTGTTTGGGTTAAAGTTAATTTTCTCTGGCTCATTATCTTTTGAATAAACAAATAGGTGGTAGATTCAAATACAAGGAGTTTGCACCGTACAGAATAAAACTAAAAGTACAGTAACAGTAATACTTTATTTAGTAACCCAAAGTAGAAACCATGGAACCATCAGTGATTCTTTAATTTCTCTTAATCCTAATATTCAGGCACCAAGTGCTGTCAGTTTTATCTTTTAAATAATCCTTCATTCCTTTGATCACTGCCATATTTCAGACATACCCTCATCATTGTCCATGTTATTATAGTGGTCTCTAAAACTGATCACCTTGCTTACTTTTTTCTATCTGTCTGCTGTGACTAAAGTTTTTACTCTAAAATGCCAATCTGATCATATGATTTGCCTGCATCAAAATCTTCATTGATTTCATCACACATAAAAGGAAATCCACATTGCCAAGTATGCTCTGACTTTTAGTTCTCTTTCTAAAAGTGGAAGTGTATTCCATTTACATTGGTGATTCCTAAATAAACCCCTCTCTGTGGATACATTGTTCCTTTTTCCTCTTCATTTCCCTACTCATTTGCTTTGTTAACCACTCTTTTTCTACTGACAGTTAGGCTTTCCTGACCCTTTTGGCTCTTGTTATCATTTCTGCAGAGTTTTGTTAGTGCTTTCCTTCCTGCTATAGTCTAATAATTTGTGTTGTTTGACTTGCTCTTCTGTAAGGTCCTTTAGGGTGGCAGTTTTGATAACATCATGGTATCACTACATCATTGTTATCAAGAAAGCATCTGAAATAATAGACACCATTTATTGAATGTATATGTATATATGACACTTGGTAAGAATTTAGCACATAAAATCTGTAATTTCACAAAAACCCAATGAGGCAGGTGCTATTATGAGTATTCCTATTTTACAGAAGAGGAAACTAAGAGATTCTAATTTTAATAACATTTCTGTGGTCTTACTGTTAAGAAGTGGCTGGGTAGAATTCTAAAGGCCTCTTCTCTGTACTGTTCTGATAAGACCCACTGTGCTTTAAACCTTTTTTTTTTTTTTTAATGAATGAAAGGTTCATTATGTTGCCCAGGCTGACCTCGAACGTATAGCCTTGCCTACTCAAGCACCAGGACAACTGGCCTGAGCCACTGCGGCTCTGCCTAGACCCACTGTGTTACCATTTCTCTGTATTGCTTGCATTCCAACGGGATAAGCCTTAGTCAGCAAAATGGATATGTAATTGTGGGAATTTAGAAATCACTAAACTGATTAAGGGACACTTTTTTTTTAATAGAAAACATCTTCACACCCCTGAAATAAAAATACATTCTTAACTCCCCTACTTGCAAACACAGTTGAGTGTCTATTTACCTTTTCTCCCACAATTTGGATAATAAAAGATAGTAAAGTTGCATATATTTTAAACAGCTTTGTTGACATATAATTTATGTACAACAAATTACACTTTAAAGTGTGCAATTTGATAAGTTTTGGCATATGTATGCAACCTTGGAATCATCATCACAAGATAATTAACATGTCCATCGTCCCCCCAGCCTTTCCTATCCACCCTATCTTAGACAACCAGTGATCTGCTATGGTTCATTGTATATTACTTTACATATTCTAGAGTTTCATATAAATGGAATCATACAGTATGTTGTCTTCTGATCTAACTTCTTTCACTTAGCATGATTTTAAGAGTCATCCATGTCATTATATATATCAGCAGTTCATTCTGCAGATGCATATTTTGAATTTTAGTTATTATAGAAAGTAAGTAATGTTTTTTTCTCTGTTGTGTCTTACTTTAGATATGTTTTACATGGGAATGGTTGCACATTCTTTGACAATAAAGTCCTTCCTGGGACTTGTTTCTGATAGACTATGTGTAAGTTTTTTAATATTTAGTGGAGATATAAAAAAACTCACCTAATGCTTCTGCAAGGATTTAAATGCATTTTCACTTTCAGTGAATGGTCTTTTCATTCAGTATTACAAGTATGATGTAAAATCAAGCAGTTAAATACATTTAACTCACTTTAGGAGTGTAATCTTCTTTACCCTTCTCGGGGAATCTTGGGGGAAACCCTTCTGCTAGGTCTCACGTGGGAGGCGGATATCTCTGAAGTGGTTATTTCAGAACTTCATATTGACATTAGCTATAGATACTAAGCTATAAAGTGCTAACCATCAATATGGTTTGAATGACTTGTTTTGACACTACATAGGGACTCAATTTGAATGGGGAAAGAAAGGTGCCTCTCCCAGCCAATCTCCAAGATAACATTTCAAACTTGTTATTTAAGGTTAGAAGGAAAAAAAAATCTTTATTTTAGTCTGCTGTTATGAAAAAACAGAAGTGTTAAAATGCATTATTAATTGTTACACTAATCTCACTGACCTCCTCCTTTTTAAAAAAATTTCAGGTGCATATAACCCGTATATAGAGATAATTGAACAACCCAGGCAGAGGGGAATGCGTTTTAGATACAAATGTGAAGGGCGATCAGCAGGCAGCATTCCAGGGGAGCACAGCACAGACAACAACCGAACATACCCTTCTATCCAGGTAATAGACCCTTCTTCTGTGTCTGTCTCTATTAGTTGCCTCATAGATCAGCTATAGCAATTATTTTTAAGGGCCAGTTTCTTCACAGTTATATCCACAGTTTTGTCTTTTTATTTTTTCCTCTTTTACTTTTTTAACAGATCTATATTAGATAGATGTCTAAGGACATTTCTTAATATAGTATGGAGTCTTCCCCACTGCACATAGTTATATGGTGCTTGTGTATTAACCTAAGTAGAGCGACTCATAATGTTTAGTGTACATTGACAGCTTTTGGATCATGTTCTCTTTCATGGAACACAAAGCTAATAAGGAAAACCCATTCTCTCCTTACAGAGGTGAGTGATATTACTCTGTAGATTAAACATGGATTTGAGAACTCAATCACAATTCTTCTTGTCTAGTCTTAGGACTAGAACATCTTTTTCTCCTTTTTCCTTACCTTTATTACTTGTCTCTGATTCTCTGACTTGTTGACTGATTTGAAATAACGCTTTTTAAATATGGTTTTTTTCACATTAGCATACATTTTGAAAAGCTTTTGACTTTGGTAAATATACTAATAGTTACAAGATGTACTAGATTTATTTATTTTTATTTTTTGAAACTGAGTTTTGCTCTTGTTGCCCAGGCTGGAATGCAATGGCATGATCTTGGCTCACTGCTACCTCTGCCTCCTGGGTTCAAGTGATTCTCCTGCCTCAGCCTACCAACTAGCTGAGGTTACAGGCACCCACTACCATGCCCAGCTGATTTTTGTGTTTTTTGGTAGAGACGGGGTTTCACGATGTTGGCCAAGCTGGTCTTGAACTCCTGACCTCAGTTGATCCACCTGTCCCGGCCTCCCAAAGTGCTTGGATTACAGGTGTGATGTACTAAATTTATATTTTCTATTTCTCAACTATTTTTTATTTGACTTTCAGTGAAGGGTTTATCCTTTAAATGCCAATTAAAAACTTTAATGGCAAAGTAGATTTTGAAGGGTTACTTTTTGTTTTTTTTTTTTTGAAAAGTGTTACTTTTATCAACAGATCTTATTCACTGTTTTATAAGTAGATTATTTACAAAGTCTATTCTTTTGATGAACTTAAAGGGAATTGCTAAATTATAGAATAAACTAATGGCAAGATTATATATTGAATTCCAGATTCCTATTTTTATCACATTTTTGGCAATAATATGGATTTGGGTTATCTAAGTATTTTAAATGTTAAAATGGATGAGATGCTAATAAAAAGGAAATAAGGAAATACTATTTGTCCAATTTTTGAGTCATTTTTAAACTATAATTCATCTTATCCTATACATCTCTAAAATATTTCTAAGATCTGTATTTTTACAATTCCAGTAGGTCCTAAACACTTTACAGCTTGAGCTTTGTATTTGCCTACTTAGAGTCTTGAGCAGTTACCTTCTCTTTTATCCAGAAAGAAATGTAGTGCTTTCTGGTTACCGTTCAAATTCTATTTAAATTCAAAATTACAGATTTTAGTGACTGCTACCTGGTAAGCTACCCATTCTTACTTTACCTTGTTCCTTTGTGGTATGCTGTTTTTTATATGCCCTGCTTTGTTCTTGCAAATTTACTAGCTTTCAAACTAAGGATTAGTTTCTGTTCTTCCTTTTCCATGTTAAACTCTCCTTTTTACTCTCTGCTCTATGTATACTTTCTATGTGAAATTCAATGTTGTTAAACTAAATTTGATTTATTGCCTATTCTAGAGTGAATTCTTGGGGTATGCTTACTGAACAAATATTTTTATGAAGTGAAATGTCACATATTAAGTAAAATGATCATATTTATATGCTATCCTTTCCAGTATGGCTTAAATATATTTTCAAGGAATGTTATGGCATGACAGTACATTTAAGAGCTGGGCCGGGCGCGGTGGCTCAAGCCTGTAATCCCAGCACTTTGGGAGGCCGAGGCGGGTGGATCACGAGGTCAGGAGATCGAGACCATCCCGGTCAACATGGTGAAACCCCGTCTCTACTAAAAATACAAAAAAATTAGCTGGGCATGGTGGCGCGTGCCTGTAATCCCAGCTACTCAGGAGGCTGAGGCAGGAGAATTGCCTGAGCCCAGGAGGCGGAGGTTGCGGTGAGCCGAGATCGCGCCATTGCACTCCAGCCTGGGTAACAAGAGTGAAACTCCGTCTCAAAAAAAAAAAAAAAAAAAAGAGCTGGGCATTCAGTGACTTAACATCTGCTTTCTCATGTCTATGATAAAATTTGGGTATAGTTTACTTGTTTTGAAAGGAAAATAAGCAGAGTCAAATGATTTGACCAATTGAAATTAGGGCAGAAAATATGTCAAGGAACTGAGAGGTAAGTTCTTCTCTACTGGTATTCTCTGGAAAGTTTCATCAAAACTGCAGTTGTTCGTCAGTTGGACTTTATTTATCTACTGTTGATTACATGATAATTAATGTAAGTTGAACCCTCGTTTAGATCTGTTTATAATATGATCTATTTGGATCATATATTTAATTTCCCCCTTTTTTCAGATTATGAACTATTATGGAAAAGGAAAAGTGAGAATTACATTAGTAACGAAGAATGACCCATATAAACCTCATCCTCATGATTTAGTTGGAAAAGACTGCAGAGACGGCTACTATGAAGCAGAATTTGGGCAAGAACGCAGACCTTTGTTGTAAGTATACAGTTACAGACATCTTCAGAAACAAGATAAGACATAGAATGCTCTGTTTCTTCTCCATGACAATTTGTTACTTTTAAGGAGAATAATTTTCTCATTCTACTTCTGTTTACTATGTTTTACATCTATATCTTCTTATTATTTGCATTAGAACTACCCTTACATTCTTCATTAGTAGACACATGATGATTAGCAGGAAGACATTTTTGTAGTTATTAAAAGTAAGCATAAACTTATTGTATATTGTGATTTCCTTTCTTGGGGTGAACAGTTTTTTAAATAATTTTTTACTCTGCCTTTTCGTTTATAGTTAACTTTATTATTATTGTTGTTGTTATTATTTTGAGACAGGGTCTTGCTCTGTTACCCAGGCTAGAGTGCAGTGGCATGATCTCGGCGCATTACAACCATTACCTCTAGGCTCAAGCAATCCTTCAGCCTCAGCCTCCTAAGTAGCTAAGACTACAGGATGTACCACCATGCCCAGTTAATTTTTGTATTTTTTGTAGAGATTGGATTTTACTGTGTGGCCTAGGCTGGCCTTGGACTCCTGGACTCAAGCAGTCTGCCCACCTTGGCCTCCCAAAGTGCTTGGGATTATAGGTGTGGTCCACCATGCCACACCCATTTACAGTTAATATAAAAATGGCTGGATGTAGGAGAAATCAACTGGAAAAACTCTAGAATTATTATTTAGAAAGTAGCAGGTTATAGAATTAACATACAACAATAGTTCTAAGAGAAAAATAATTATGTGATAGTTTAGGATCGTGAGGCTACCAGAAGGTGGGCCCATTCATCATGTTAGTGAGAATGTAAATTAATAAAATCTAATAGGCAATTTAACTACATAGCAAAAGCCTGAAAAATATGAATGCCTCTTGAGCCAGCAATTCCAATTCTAGGAGTTTAGCCTCAGAAAATAAATAAGCGTATTCAGACATTTCACTCTAGTGCTGTTCGTTGCAGTTCTCTTTGTAATGGCAAAAAGCTAGAAGCAATCCAAATAGTAAAGGGGATTAATTAAATAAACTGGTGCATTCATCCAGTGTACTCCTGTGCAGCCTTAAAAATCATAGTGCAAATATGTCTACTGATATGTAAAGACAATCACAATATATTAGATACATAGATTTTTTTGTTTTCATTTTTTGTTTTTGTTTTTGAGACAGAGTCTTGTTCTGTTGCCCCAGCTGTAGTACAGTGGTGCAATCTCGGCTCACTACAATCTCCATCTCCCAGGTTCAAGTGATTCTTCTGCCTTAGCTTCCCAATTTAGCTAGGATTACAGGTGTGTGCCACCACGCCCAGATAATTTTTTGGTATTTTTAGTAGAGACGGTTTTGCCACATTGGCTGGGCTGGTCTTGAACTTCTGACCTCCAGTGATCCACCTGCCTGAGCCTCCCAAAGTGCTGGGGTTATAAGCGTGAGCCACCGCAGCTTGCCAGATAAATAGGTTTTAAAACAATATGTAAAGAATAATCTTATTTTTTAAAAAATAAATTTATATATGTCCGTGATAGTACATATGTTAATACTAAGGTATTAATAGTAGTTGTCTGGGTGGGTAAGATTGTAGGGTTTTATGTTTGTCTTTTACCTTATTTTATAATTCATTTTTGTAATGAGCATGTATTGGCTTTTGGGGAAAAATGAACTAATTACAACAAAAAAGAGATTCATAGTCCCACATATATTAGTAATAACCATTTAGGAAAAAAATGCCTTAAAAGCTCCTCTTAACAATAATAACACAAAACAAAGTATCTAGTAATATACACACTTGGCAAATATTTGTCTGTATTACTTGACCTCTCAATAGCATTTTACATTGTGATTACTTCTTACTTGAAACATTTTTATTCTTTACTTCTGTGAGAACAAACTGCCGTTTTACTTCCTGCTTTTCTGGCTGTCCTTTCTTAGCTCCAGGCAGTTAAATTTTTGAACCACCTCACTCACTGTCCTAATAATGCTCTTTAGCCACCTCTCTTCCCAATTTAAGATCCCATTAAGGATCACACACTAGAGGTAGCATTATATTTAACATGAATAACATGAATAGTGTTTTCATGTTAACATGAAACATTTTGGGCAAGAAACCTACAGAAGTGATGCGGCATAATTCTTAAAATATCCCTTCAGTTTTTTACATTCTTGGGGATATTAATTGGCATTCTGTTATAAAGAAGAACTTTCCCTTCTCCTCTGTCTCCATTTAAAAAGTATCACTGTAAACTCATGGATTCTTGTATTTAATGTATCAGTTATTCTGTTATTCTTTTGATTTTCATATTGACCCAGATTTGATTAATGCATGCCTCTTCAAACTGTCTTCTGTATTTTTTTGATGTGTCCTCATCTTTCTTTGAGCACTTTTTTACTTTCTGACAAAACAAAATGTTCAAGACTTGTGCTTTCCTTCTTTCTCTTTCTTTCTTTCCTTCTTTCCTTCCTTCCTTCCTTCCTTCCTTCCTTCCTTCCTTCCTTCCTTCCTTTCTTTCTTTCTTTCTTTCTTTCTTTCTTCTTCTTTCTTTCCTTCTTTCTTTCTTTCCTCTTTCTTTCTTCCTTTTCTTTTTTTTTTCTTTTTTTTTTCCCTTTTTTTTTTTTTTTTTTTTTTTTTGAGACAAAGTCTTGCTCTGTCGCCCAGGCTGGAGCGCAGTGGTGCGATCTTGCCTTATTTGCAACCTCCCTCTTTTGGGTTCCAGCGATTCTTGTGCCTTAGCCTCCCATGTAGCTGGGACTATAGTCATGCATGACCACACCCAGGTAACTTTTGTATTTTTAGTAGAGATGGGGTTTCATCGTATTGGCCAAGCTGGCCTCAAACTCCTGACCTCAAATTATCTGCCTGCCTTGGCTTTCCAAAGTGCTGGGATTACAGGAGTGAGCCATGGCGCCTGGCCAACTTGTGCTTTGCTTGTCCCAGACCTGAAGTCATCAGTTTTGTTTTTTGTTTTTTGGGTTTTTTTTTTATGAGATGGAGTTTTGCTCCCAGGCTGGAGTGCAATGACGCGATCTCGGCTCACTGCAACCTCCGCCTCCTGGGTTCAATCAATTCTCCTGTCTCAGCCTTCTGAGTAGCTGGGATTACAGGCATCTGCCACCATGCCCAGCTAATTTTGTATTTTTTACTAGAGATGGGGTTTCTCCATGTTGGCCAGGCTGGTCTCGAACTCCTGAACTCAAATGATCCACCCACCTCGGCCTCCCAAAGTGCTGGGATTACAGACGTGAGCCACCATGCCCGGCCGAAGTCATCAGTTTTTTCCAAAGATTCTTGGTTCCTTTTAGTAGGGAATGGTATTTAGTCTGATTGCCTTCTTAACATATTCTCTTAAATGTCTCAAAAGTACCATAAGCAGCCAGGCACAGTGGCCCATGCCTGTAATTGCAGCTACTCAGGAGGCTGAAGCATGAGGATTGTTTGAGCCCAGGAGTTTGAGTCCAGCCTGGGCGACATAGCGAGACCCTATCTCTTAAAAATAAAAAATTTTAAAAAGGCCCCTCAAATAGAATATGCCCCAAACCATTATTTTACCGTGATCATACCTCTTTCCCCTCAGAATTGGTCTTCTTCCAATGTCCTGTGCGTTAGTGATTGCTATAAAAGCCCTATAACTGTCATCTCTGACATTACTCCACCAGATGTGCACGTTGAATCTACTAACAGATACCTTCTTAAAGTGGTTTTGAATCTATCCACTTCACTCAGTGAAATTTATCACGACGACACTACCGCTATAGTCTAAACTGGGGCTGCTGGAATAACCTCCTGACCAGTCTTGCATCAACTCATTTTGTACCTTTTCCCCCTCAATCTTTCTTCACATTAGCCAGAGTGATCTTTTAAAATACAAATGGAATTGTTTCTCCCTTGCTTAAAACATTTTAATGGGTTTATTTGGCTCTCGGAACAAAGACAGCATTCCTTCTATATAGCCTATAAGGCCCACATGACCCACCTGTATTTCTAGCCTTCTATTAAACTCTGCTTTCCTTAATTTTTACACTCAACTCACAAAGCCTTTCTTTAGTTTCCTCTGCTTACAGTGCTCTTCTATAGGGGTCTTTGTGTGGTCTGTTCCTTTTGCCTGGAAGTCTCTTTCTTCTATTCCATCATAGGCTGCCATAATATCATCTATACCTCCTTCATAAAACTGGTTATGATCTCAGTTTAGCATTTATGTATGTGTGATTATTTAATGTATATCTGCTTCACTAGACCAGAGACTACCAGATTTTTTCTGTAAAGGGCTAGATAGTAAATATTCAGGGTTTTGCAGGCTATATGGTCTCTGTTGCTCAGCTCTGCTATTGTAGCATGAAAGCAGCCATAGATAATATATAAACATCAGTAGGGCTGTGTACTAATAAAACTTTATTTGCAAATACAGACGAGATGCTGGGTTTGGTCCATGAGTTATAGTTTGCCAACCCTTCCACTAGATTGTTAGCCTCTTGAGGAGAGAGATTGTTTGTCCCCATTACTTTCCAGAGTTTTTGGTGTATAATAGGAACCCCAAAACTTGTTGAATGTCTGTGAATGAATGAATGAATGAATAATTGATTCAAACAATCTCTGTGATCCTTAATTTCTCATGTCAGAATTTCAAAAATTACCACCACCTCTAATATTTTGTGAATGGCAGTCAAATACAAGATTATTCAGATGAAACAAAATGAAGTCATATAAATATATTAATATGAAGAATTCTATAAAATCTTTTGCCAAAGAAAAAGAGTCAAACCAAGAATCTTTCAAAGAAGTGGAATACTTTTGAGTAAGAAGTTTATAACTGCAAGATTTCAAGAAAGGACTAAGAATTCAAGATTTAGCCACCCGAGCACAGTGTCTCATGCCTGTTATCCTAGCACTTTGGGAGGCTGAGGCAGGCAGATTGCTTGAGTCCAGGAGCTTGAGACCAGCCTGGGCAACATGGTGAAACCCTGACTCTACAAAAATACAAAAATGTACTGGGTAGGGTGGCATGTATCTGTAGTCCAGCTACTCAGGAGGCTGAGGTGGGAGGATCACCTGAGCCTGAGAGGCGGGGGTTGCAGTAAGTCAATATTGTGCCACTGCACTCCAGCCTGGGTGGCAGAGTGAGATCATCTTGAAAAAAAATTTTTTTCTTAAGATTTATTTTTGTAGTTATTGGAGGCAGAGGAAGGAAATGTGAAATATATTTTAGGTGCTAGCAAAATTGTAAGTGTGTTGACTATGAAGAGCATCAGCATAAGACAGCATGAGTGTGGAGACAGGCCGACAAAGTAGCCTCTGGTTTCAAGTGCCATGTGAAGTTTGAACAAATAGTAATGTTGTTATAACTGAGTTTTGCTTCCTTATTCACACCCACCCAATTTTACTGATGTCATGGTTTTTCCATGTGGGAACAAGTATGACTGGTGGTGGTGGGGGAGTTCCCCCCACCACTGTCTATGCTACAGATATGCAAATTAGTAATATTTGTAGCTATTGGGAAGTTTTTCATAAATGACATTTTGAAACTTGTTAAATATTATTGTTAGAATTAAACTTTCTAATAAAAAACACACCAGTAATTTTTTATGATAAATTGCTCTGATAACTTTGTATAATATAGCACAAAACATATTCTGCTACTAACAGTGAATTCAGGGCTCAAAAATCAAATTTCTGCAGAACTAGGCAAGCAGCATAAATGAGTGGTGTGAATCAAGTGTAGGAGGACTAACAGGCACTGTAGCAAACTGAAGAGCCCTGCATAAATGGGTCTCAGTCTTCAGCCTATATTTTCTGTGCCAACCTAGTGTTTCTAGGCCTTTAAAATGTTCGAGAGAAGCCAGAAGTCCAGATGTTCATGTGCAGTTATCTGATTTCTAAATGTAGATAATCTGTGCAGATTTTTTAAAATATAGGCAACATCCTTGTGGGCCTAGCGAAACATACCTGTGGGCTTCAACCTGTGGACTTCTTTTTACAGCTTTTGTTTTACATTATCAAACATACAGATTTTATTGATCTGATTCTGAATTTGAGAGGTAAATTTTACCATTATGGTATTGCTTTACTGTTAATCTATACTTTGGTATGTTTGACATAGGCATATTAATAAAATGTAATTGTGAAACACTGTATGTAAAAATGATATATACTATTTTTCTTTTAACAGTTCTCTTAGAAATATAATCCCACTTCTTTTTTTTTTTTTTTTTTTTTTGAGATGAAGTTTTGCTCTTGTTGTCCAGGCTGGAGTACAATGGTGTGATCTCAGCTCAATTCTCCTGCCTCATCCTCCTAAGTATCTGGGATTACAGGCTTACGCCACCACGCCCGGCTAATTTTGTATTTTCAGTAGAGACAGGATTTCTCCATGTTGGTCAGGCTGTTCTCGAGCTCCTGACCTCGGGTAATCTGCCTGTCTTGGCCTCCCAAAGTGCTGGGATTACCATGCCTGGCCATATACCCCCACTTATTAGCCTCTCATCTTTATCAGAGCAATTTGAAGCACATTCATGCTTTGGTATGTTCAGCTGACAGCATGATAACTTCAGTATTGCTATACATTTGATTTTTGCAATATTCCATGTGTTTATAATGCAGTTTTGAATATTCTGGTTTTTTTCCTGCTAGTTTCCAAAATTTGGGTATTCGATGTGTAAAGAAAAAAGAAGTAAAAGAAGCTATTATTTCAAGAATAAAGGCAGGAATCAATCCATTCAATGGTAAGTATGTTTGATATAGTCATTTCTATTTATTTGGGTATTGATTTCTATCTATCTGTATATATGGTTTTTTGATTGTAGTGTTTTTGAGATGCAGTTTTGCTCTTGTCGCCCAGGCTGGAGTGAAATGGCACAATCTTGGCTCACTGCAACCTCTGCCTCCCAGGTTCAAGAGATTCTCCTGCCTCAGTCTCCCAAGTAGCCGGTATTACAGGCACCCACCATTATACCCAGCTAATTTTTCTATATTTAGTAGAGACGGGGTTTCACCACGTTAGCCAGGCTGGTCTCGAACTCCTGACCTCAGGTGATCTACCCACCTCAGCATCCCAAAGTGCGGGATTACAGGTGTGAATCATCATGCTCGGTTATTTATATCTTGAACCTGTGTTTTAAGTTCTGTGTTTACTTTTCTACTTGTTGACTTATACCTCTACCTGAGGAATGAGGTATACTATTTAAAATAGCTTTTTCACAGTTGTTGAAAAAAATCTTATGCACACAGAGATTTCTGGTATTGTTGGAAAGTGTCATTGTTTTCTATGATAAAACTTCAAAATGTTCTGATTCTTTTTGAATGTGGCCTTCCTTATGCCACTTCCAGCAGATGTATACTCCCCTTTTGAATGTTAAATAGGCACTGTGTTTATTGGAGTGCATTTAGCTCAAGGGCGTATTCACCAGTAAGACTTAATCCCAATGTGGAAGAAGAAGCATAGAAATAATAGAAATCATACAAAGTATTTTCATAGCATATTTATATATATGGCTAGATATCTACTGCTTAGTGGATTTTATTGGGGATAGCATTTATTAAGTATTTATATTTATGGTACTATCTGCCTCATGTTATAAGTATAAATGCTTAATATTACCTGATTGTTACTTGCAAGCACTCTGTATTGTTTGAATAGATAAGTACTACCATGCTAGATGGTGGCATCCTATACTTAGAGTAGCTTCCATTCTAAAGTCTTCTGCAGCTACTTAAATGTGCAGAAGCCAGGAATTAAATGACTATAACATTTTCAAAGAATAAATTTCCTTGTCATACTTAAGACTTTCTTATACTGTTGGTTTGCATTTTTCCTGGATATATAAAAATAATTTAAGAGATATGTTGATAATTTAAGGAGTATATTCACAGATAAGTACTATTTTATGAACCATAAGATCTGTATCTCTTTTCTCTTGGTTTTCATTTTCATACTACTTAGTGTAAAGCTGAAAACCAAAGTCCCCATCTTCCCTTCCCTTCCAGTCTTACCAGGGAGACTGCTATTAAGTTTGATATATATTTTTTCTAGAATTGTCTTTATACAGGTGTAGTTATATGTAGACATACATATTTTATATAAAAGGAATCATGCTATACATCCTATTCTACTGCTTTATTTTTTTCCACTCAGGAATATACCTTAAACTTTCCATGTCAATACTTACAAATCTGTTTTTATTTTTTAACAGGATATTTTATTGTTTGGGTAGAAAAGAATTTGCTTATTTAGTCTTTTTTTTTTTTTTTTTTT